TCAAAATTCAAATATGGCTCATAGTTATGACAGTTGCAGCATCCCAGGAGGGGGGGGTCACATGATCCCCTTTTGCGGCCTTCTGACGAGCAAAGTCAATGGTTTCACTTAATGACCACATGATTCAGTTAACAAGCGCAGTGATTCGCTTAAGAGCGGTAGCAAGAAAAGTCATAAAATGGGGCGAAAGTCATTTAACAACCGCCTTGCTTAGCAACAGACATTTTGGCCTCAGTGGTGGTCGTAAAATGAGGACCACCTGTATTTGCAATCCTGGAGACCTCTCTTGGGCTTCCTTGGGTGGACCAATGAAATCTACCCTGCTCCACTTTGCGCCAGATTTGACCACCTTCTTAGGAGACAGATTTCATCCCGAGAAGCTGAAACCGATGCAGATTTGATAACAGGAACCACGAATCGCTTCTCCCCCCAGCAGCAAACAGATTCGCTCAGCACTTCTCCAGGAAAACAGAAAAAAAAAAATACAAAATACAAAATCTGTTCCACTTCTTCAGTGCTGCCAAACCCACGCAAATGTGAAAGTCAGCAGCGATAAGGATATTTATTTATAGGTCTGATGGTGCATTTTGTAGACGTGACCCTGCGCAGAAAAAATGCAGACACCCCCCCCCCCTTTCCTGGCAGCAGCTCCTATTCAGTGAAGGGGCTGGAAAGTGCGCAATGCACCCTTCGTGTTTGGGGAATCTGCTGGCATGATTAAAACCATGGAATTGTCTCATCCTGTGAAAATTTGGGGGAAACGTGTAATGCTCAGTGACCCCTTCCGAAACCAAGGAGTGGGGAACATAGTGCTTTTTTTTCTTCCCAATTCTCCCCCCTCCCCATATAGAAAGACCTCTGTTTTAATCTCCACCATCTCCAGGTTAGACAGGCTCCAGTTATAAATCTGGAAGCGTCACTGTGGGACAGTGTGACCTTCCTGATCATCTGAGCCCACAGGCTGACTCAGTTAAAAACAATTTCCTAAGCTTGCACATTTCCAGCAATGTTGGAAAAGGATCTGCTCTAGACCTCAACTCTGATGCAATTCGCTGAGCCTTCTTAAAACTGAAATTCAGAATAGTCTCGGAAAAAGTTTCATTTTTACAAGTCAGATCTCTCCTAATACAGAAAAAAATCTTGCATGAAAGCCCTTTGGCTGTTGGGCTACTTGCTAAACAGCTCTTAAAGGACAACTTGGAAATGCTCAATGTAACAGACTAATGTGTAAAATGGGGGTCTGTTAAATCAGAAGGCCCGTTAAAAGAGAATTTAATCTATTATTTGGAACAGCACCTCAAACACAAAGTCCAAACGCAGCTCCCAAGTAGAAACAAAGTTAATTGTGTTCTTTGTTGTTGTTGTTGTTGTTTTAATCAAATTGGTCAATTTAGCCATCTCTGCTAATTCCATCATCTTTGGCATTGTGGGAAACAAATTGCCCTTCCGTTTTTGTTTCTCCATAAAGTATTCTTGCTGCCATCAACATACATAACATCTCTCTCTGTATCTTTGGCACTCTAGCTATGGATCAAATAAAGTTATTTCACCCCTTGAAAAAGCACAAAGAAAGGTTTGGCCCATCCAACTTGAAGACTACTAAAAGTGAACTCAATTAAATCTCACATCCCACTAACATTATGAAACCTACTTATCACTCTGCGGTGCCATCATTCCTCTTAATAGCCTGCCAATGCTAGAAAAAAATCTGTTTTCAGAGGAACTAAACTGCACCCCCAGAAGATAAAGCAGAAGGAGCAAAAGTTGATCAACTTTTCTTTTCTTTCGAAAAAGTGAGAAACCCACCAACCTTTCTTACAACTGGAAAGAGCCACGAGGCCCTGATGCAAACTTGGCTGGTCCTAGAACAAGAATTCCAAATTCAATATTTCATTTTAAGGTGGGTTTTTTTTAAAAATCATGCAAAGCTTCATAAAACTGCAAGGCCGAATAGGGAGCAATTGGGTGGTTTGAGTAACTGAGAAGCATTAAAAAAAAAAAAAAACACCATTTCCATTCAGAGAGATTATTCTGTAAAAGTAGGCAACTGTCCTCCTGAGACTAAACAAGGTTTTGGCTGATCTTTAATAGGTGTGTATTTCTTTTCTTTTTTTTTTTTCAAGTTATAGTCTTCTTTTCTCCCTGATCAATTTAGATACCCAGAATTTTTACCAACATATGGTGAGAAGATTCTAGAGAAGTTCATTTCTGCCGGGGAAAAAAAACGGGATTTTCCCCAATCAAAGATATTAAAGCACAAGCAACTTTTTTAAAAAATGATAAACATCCCATTCAGTTGATTGATGTTAGATTATCAGGGCGCGTGTTTGAACAGGAAAATGAAGTTGGCTTAAAAGTTATTGGATCAGGAGTTTTTTCTCTCTACAACTTTCAAAATCTCTCCCCTGAAAGACATAGAAGCATGAAGTTGTGGAGTTGGATGGATCCCCAAAGGTTATCTAGTCCAGCCCTCTATAAATCAGTAAGAGTCTCTAAGTAGCTAACCAGTCTCCTGAAGAGAACTGATTAATTGTTCTCACTGCCAGGAAATTTCTCCTTAGTTCCAGGTTGGGTCTCTATGTTCAAAAATTACTCAGCAGGTATCAGCTAAGGTGGGAAGCTAGGTAGAAGTGAAAAGAACGCCACCTGGAGATCTCAACAGTAGGAAAAAGTAACCCAGGATGCTGAAAAACATTGGGAAGAAAAGTGCTTCCAAAGCACTGCCAAAAACATCAACATGAACGTGTCTGCATAATCCCCAGGAAGCAAGTATGATTTTTATTTTTTAAAAAAATCATTTCTTCATCCTTTTTAAATCTTTCAGATGCCAAGATAACCTTAACCGCCTTGTGAACTCCGAGTCACACCAGGGCAATGTGCTCTGGCTAAGACCCAACACAACAATGTTATGTTTGCTTTTTCAGTTATCCCACTGGGTTGAAATTATCTGTAACTCAAACCCAGCGTCTTAACTACCCACATAATAAAGAGGCAAGAAGAACACTGCCAGCTATGCAAATGAAAGGGGCTTGTGTGTTTGTGTGTGTGTGTGTGTGTGTGTATGTATGTGTGTGCTGACTATACTTTGTGCGTTTGGAGCACAAGCAGCCTGTGCATAGGTAGGAAAGCCCAACCCTAGCACTACATCCCTGAGAAACAGGCAGAGAATCGAACGTGGTTCTCTGTGGTTGTTGCTGAACTGCGAAGCAAACCACAATTCAAAGATTTCGGACGCAGTCCAGATCCCCCTGGAGAAGAGGACACGGCTGCCAAAAATGAGACACACAAACCAGGGTCGAACGGAGCAGGAGAACCAGAGTCAAACCACAAGGCCCAAGCTTGGCTTGGGCAACTGTTTGGAGAATCAATTTGGAAAAACAGATCCGCCTCTTCACCCGTGAATTAAAGAGAAACCAAAGTCAAAAGTTCAGCTCCGTGCAAAGCCCAGGACGGGTTGAACCATCTTCCCGTGGCTACAGAGGCCAGCAAAAGCTGAGAAAGGGGCGGAAAGAAGGCCTGTTGAACACCAGAAAATCTTGTTTTTCGAGCCCCTTAAGGATCTGGGTGGAAATGTATTTGTCAATCAAGGAAAAACTCAACCAACATCAACAAACGTCAGGATCTGCCTGTTTGCAAAAGGGCTCCCCACATTCAGCTTTAAAACAATCATGGTTTGCTTGCAAAGCGCTGTCTCACATCATGCTACACCCACAAACTTGGTTTACAAACCACGATGCCCTAAACCAAGCAGGCCAATCCAGGTCAAGCAAAACGATTCACTGAAGCAGGATGCTTCAGCCAAGCCATTAATCTGCTCTCCCACCTTCTTCTCTCTCTAAGGCAGTCTGAGAGGCCAGACACCTTCCCATTACCAAAATATTTTAATTAACCAGCCCAAAATTCAATTTTCCAACTCTTAAGATCCCGAAGCCCCATTCTCTGCCATCCTTCCCACCACCAACCCTGATTTCAGCCGACTTGAGTTAATTTAGTTAAAAGCTAAAAAAAAAAAAAAAAAAAAAAGCAGAATTAACTTCCTAAGTCTAGGAAGAGGTGAGAGAAGTAAATAAATGTATAAATTAAATAAATAAATAAGGGAAATGTGTCTGGAGCCAAACTAATCACCCAGCTGATGAAATGATTACTAAGTAGCTCAAATATTTTATTTACAGGCTTGCAAGGAAAGCAAATTAAACCCTAATCAGAAGCAATTCAATACGCAGATCACACTAACGCTTATTGTGGTCGCTTTCATGTGTCATGCGAATCCCACGTTTGTGGTTTGCAAACTGGGGTTTAGCCTCTCCAAAACTTCCTTTTTCTTATTTATTCAGATTTATTTTCTTAGATTTTTTTCCCCCTAATAACCAGAGACCAGATTTTCTTATTCTCCTTCTCATTTTCCCTCAAGCCAACCATGGGAAGCATCTGAAAGCTACTTAAAAAGACCAGCTATGGTCACAACAACCTATCAAGCTATTGTTTTTGTTAACTACAGTTGTTAAATGACTTTGGGTTGAACCACGGTTTAAACATCACAACAACGTGCAGTGCCCAGCTTACATATCGTGATATGCCACAAACAAGCGTCACAGCCTCATTCTCTTTCACACCTGCTCTGGGTAACACAAAAAATCGAACAGTGTGATAGTTGTTATGTACAAACAGGTAGTCCTCGACTTACGGCCAAAAATTGGGAACCAAGTTTCCATTGCTGAGCAAGGCAATTGTTAAGTGGATTGCGCCAACTTTATGATGCTTTTTGACATGGTTTTGATCATGTGACCCTGGGGATGCTGCAACAGTCACAAGTGCGAAAAACAGCCCTAAGTCATTTTTTTTCAGTGCTGTTGCAACTTCAAATCGTCGTAAGTGGAGGACTACTTGAATTTTCAGTCTTAAAGGCTCAGCCGCCTCCCTCCCCCATGCAAATTCAACTGACCAGGTTAAGCCTGCTGTGCGAACCCAGCCCCCTGCTGAAAACAAACCAGAACTCTTACCATGCTCCAGAAAGACGTTGCAATGGGTCCCTCCTTGCTTGGAGGCTTCCTTCTTCACCCCACCCTTGATAAAGTGCAGGGCGGGAAGACTTGGCCTCCGTTGGTCGCCCACGACTTTTCCAGGTTGCTGACCCATAGATTTCCTCCCACGCACGCGACACACCACGGCCTTCCGAAGGGACAGGAAACTCCACGTTGCGTTCCAAGTACCACCCTTTAAATGAAAACACACGCTTTTCTGTCTTTCCCTCCTTCAGCCCTGCGTCAATTTGTGAAGTTCCACTGGGTCACCAGGGCTGGATGGCTCCTTCTTCGCAGCTTTCCTGTCGTAAGGTGAGGTCATCCGACTGCAAAGACTCAGACCAAGAAATGCCCCATTTTTCTTGCATAGCCCAGGTCAAACCCCCAAATCTCTTGGGCTTCAAGTATTATTATTCCAGCTGAATCAACAGAGTCCAAGAACTGTAATTTTTTGTCCTTCAACAGCCCCCCATAAAAGTTCCCAAATTGCCATCCATAGCAGGAGTGCAAGGAAAAGGGAATGTTCCAGTATTATTTAGTCCGATGCAAATCCTTATGAATCCCGTAGTCCTTCCGTTGCTGTTGCTTCTGCTCCTTCGATTCTGCTCTTTGGAGGTTCCTATGAAGGTAAAATGACAACTGGTGTGGATGGGGGGCATTTTAAGGACCAAACCGTGAAGAAGCAGCGATATCTGCGGATAAATTCAATAAACACAGCCACAGTCAGATGCTCTGAAAAGCAAAACATTTGTAAGTCCTTGAAGGAAGAATGAAGTTGGTCCGAAGAGACGGAAAGTGAAAGAGATGGAAGAAAGAGTTGCATGGGGGGGGGAGGTCATCTCAGGTCAATGCTGTCAGGTTGTCCTCAAAGGCAGGTGTTTGGGGGGGTCTCTCGAGCAAGATGGGGGCCCAGCATCCATTCAGAAGCAGCAGGAGGACCCAGGCAAACTTGGAGCCTCTGAGGAGGACGTCTGAAGGGCCCCCTTTGAATTATGCTGTGGGAGGTTACAGCAAAACAGGATAGAAAAAAGTGGGAGGGGAAGGAAAGGAAAGGAAAGGGAATGTGGAGAAAACTAAAAGGAAGAAAAATGTGTCAGAGGGTGAAATCAGAAAATTAGGGACCAGGGGAAGGAATTATGAAGGGAAAATAGGAAGGAGGGAGGGAAGGAAGGTCTGAGGAAGTAATAAAAGAAAAAAGTGAAAGGAAAGGAAAAGAAAGGTTAATGAAACGGTGGTCAGGAAGGAAGGATGAAGGGAAGGGAAGACGAAGGGAAGAAGGAGAAAAGAGGAAGGAAGGAGCTGACGAGGGAAAGAGAAGGAAGGAGAGAAAGAGAAAAAAGAATGAAAGAAAGGAGGGAGGGAGGGAGAAGAAGGGAAGGAAAACGGGAGCTCCGGAGGGCGGCGAGGCCAGCAGAAGAGCCGAGGGTCCCGGGGGCAGCTGGGGCTGCGGCGGGGGGCGGCCGGGGGGGCTCAGCGGGGTCCGGCCGGCTCTCCGGCCTAGGCAGCGGCGGCCATGGCTGAGGAGGGCCGGCGGGAGGGCGAGGGCGGCGCCCGGCAGCAGCAGCAGCAGCGGGAGGAGGAGCAGCCCGGCCAGCCAGCCAGCCGGCGCACGCGAGTGGGTGGCCGGGGCCCGCGAGCCCATCCTCCCCTGCCGCGCGAAAGGCAGCTCCCATGCTCCGCCGCTGCAAGGAGTGTACCCATCATCCCCCGCTGGGGCACCCCCGCCCCTCCTCTTTGCCTCGACTGCGTTGGACTACAAGCTCCATCGTCCACAGGGCTGGGCGAGGGCTCCCATCCTCACTGCCCTCCTCGCCCAGTGGCGTGTCCAGCTTTAGCACCACCACCCCCCAACCCCTTCTCTTTAGAATACAATAGAGCTGGGCTGGTAGGGTTTATCTAGTGAGCCTTGGACTACAACCACCATCATCCACAGGGCTGAGCAAAGAATCCTCCAAAGCCTTTTCCCAACCTCATTTGTCGTGTTGGGCTCTGGCCTATCATCCTCTGCCAGGGATCCCCGGGGGCCCAGGGATCTCTTAAAGAAGCGATTTCTATTTTATTTAATTTTTAATTAAAAGCAAACTCCTAAATCTGTTAATAAACCATCAATAATAATAAAAAGACATAAGAAACTAATGTATCTTCAGTTGTTTTTTATTTTGAAGTCCTGGCTTAACTGTAGCAAGAGTGGATACTAAAATTGTATAATAAACAAGCTTAAAAATGTGAGAATCCCTAGGAAACTAATGTATCCTTTGCCAGTTTTTGTTTTGAAGTCCTGATGCAACAGTTAAGAAAACCTACAAAACCCTTTAAAAATAGAAACAATAGAATTGTGGAGAATTGCACCTTGAAACAAACTCGAATTTTATTTTTTTCCTGGAATTTTCATCCAGAAGGAAATAAAAACAGCTTTTTTTCCCCTTACGCAAGATTGATTCAAGTTGACTTCTGATGACAACCTTGAAAATATAAATCTCTGTTTTCTTGGCAAGGTTTCAGAAGGGGCTTGCCATTGCCTCCTTCCTAAAGGGCTGAGAGAGAGCTGGCCCAAGCTCACCCAGTTGGGCTTTGCGTCTGAAGCAGGATTAGAACCCAGAATCTCTGGATTTCTAACTTGGTGCTCTGAAACCATAGAAAGGGATTTGAAAAAGGGATTTTCAAACCCTATTTAACTTAACCACTCATTGCTTCAATAGGAGCTGATGTAGAAGCAGCACCAAAAAAATGTGACTTGACACTGGTCTTCAGGCTTATGACTGTCACGGCATCCCCATGGTCGCGTGATCAAAATTTGGGCACTTGCAACTTCACGTGTATTTTACGTGATCGCGATCTTCCCAGCCAGCTTCTTCCGACAAGCCGAATCAATGGGGGGAGGCTGGATTTTTTTAAAAAATGGCAAAAAAAAGGTCATAAAATCAGGCACCCACAAGCACCTTGCTTAGCGGTGGAAATTGCGCGTCCAGTTGTGGCTTAAGTCGACAACTACTTGCATTCCAATTTTGCTCCTGAGAATAATCCGACAGAAAAAAATTAACAGATTCCTCTTTGGCGGTTGAGGGTTTGGTTTTTTTTTCCTTCCAAAGTTTATTGAATCTTTTTTTCACACATCGCTACAAACAGGAATCTCGGCATCTCCCAAACCTGGAGAAACTTTGAAAGCGACTACAAAATCCGATGACTTCGTTGGACCAAATTCCACAACTCCTGGGATGACATGAGGAAATATATTGAGAATTCTCCTTCCCTCGTACAAAGAACTGAGCCAAGGGGACACAGTTCAGAACTTGGTTTCACTCCGAATTAAACGCAGCTCTTCTTTGCAGCAACCCAGAAGTTCAACCCAGGCAAAGTTGCAAACGCAGCAATTCCAGCTTTTTGCCCCCAAAACAGAGGACTATTCTCTCAAGTGGCCGAACCAAGGATGTAAAATAGACATTTAAAAGATTGTTATTTCTTTATTCAACAAGTTTATATAGCTTCCCAACTTACTCAGGCAGCTTGTAACATTTTTTTTTTTAATTAAGACAAACAGTTTAAAGAGGAGATGTAAATTACACAGGGATTGGAGATGGGTGGTTCCTTTTTTTAATATCAGGTTCTTGTTTCTGCTAATGAACAGTTTTGTGCCAAAGAAATCTCTTCCTTGTGCAATTATGGATTTTCAACCGATACGAAACTTCAAAATCAAGCATTTCTCAGGCTAGGGACAAATACTGGAGCAAAGTTCCAGAAAGTAGGAATAAAAAAACCTCAGAATTTACAGAGATGCTGTTTGAGGAAAAGAAAGATGAAAATTATATGAGTTCTTCCTTGCTCTTCCTTCCTTATATGAGCTTTTGATGTTATTCACAGAAAGGGAGAAGATGGACCGACAAAAGGACCACAGCTCCTTGTGGTCTACAACAGGGGTCCCCAAGGCCCGAGCCATGGCCCTTCCCTCTCCTCCCCCCACGCTTGGCCGCCAAGCTGGAAATGAGGTTGGGGACCACTCATCTTCTGCTGCTGCTTCCTCTCAGCTCTGGAATTTCTAAGAGGTTCTGTACCAAAAACAGAGAGCAAAATCAGAATGGATGGATGGATGGATGGATGGATGGATGGATGGATGGTAGATGGAAGGAATGGGAAATAAGGAGAGAGGGAAGTGAGATAGAGGGGGAAGAAAGGTGAAGGAGGCAAGGAAGGATAGAGATGGAAGGAGAGGTGGGAGATGAGAAAAAGGAAGGAAGGAAGGAAGGAAGGAAGGAAGGAAGGAAGGAAGGAAGGAAGGAAGGAAGGAAGGAAGGAAGGAAGGAAGGAAGGAAGGAAGGAATCCTGGCCACTCCTCACCACTCCTTTGCTGCCATCATCCTTCCAGTTCCAGAAGCCTCTGACGTGTCTCCAACACAATCTCCTCCACCACTTCTGGTTTGAGAAGGTCTTTGATCTGCAAGAAAGGAGGAGAAATCCAGATAAAGGTCTGAAGCCCCCTTGCTAACTTGAGTTCCTCCTGGACCACTCTGGGCACCCTGTCTGCAAATTGCCACGGCTGAAAAACTCGGCTTCCGAAGACCGCCCCAAATATTGCCAAGGGGTTGGACCTGAAGCCCAACTGTGTCTTGCATAACCTCCGGGACCCTTCAAACCCCGGGGCAGACCTGGTGCCCAAGCCCACCAGAGATGCCAAATGGAAAAGAGAGGCGCTACCTGGTGAGGGAGAGAAGCTTCGTAGCAGTACAGGATGCTCGTGTCGTACAAGGTCATCTTCTGGGACACCAGAGCCACGATACAATTTCGGAGGCGGGAGATGACCTCACGGTCAGGCAGGGGCACCGGCTGGACAGACAGACACCCAATCTTAGCAGCTTCGGGCTTGGTCCCTATGCATAGTCCTTGGCCTATGACCATTCATTTTGCAACCGTTCAAAGTTATGACAGTGCTGAAAAAGTCCAGCCCTTGCTCCTCCCTCCCTCCCTCCCTCCCTTTCCTTCCTTCCTTCCTTCCTCCCTGCCTTCCTCCCTCCCTTCTTCTATCTTCTTTCCTTCTTGCTTTCTTATCTATTTATCACACTTCCTAACCACTCATCAAAATCAGAGAGAAGCTCTGGGCAGCGTACCATTTAATCAATTAAATTAATCATTAAAAAAAACATTCTAAAATTACAAAAGAGTCTTCCAAGATGGAGAGCTTAGCAGTGGTTAATGCAGGTGGGAGGGGGGATTTCACAGGGCCAACCAGCTCCATGGTTGCGTGGGCCCTCCACGCACGGTCCCCCAGGCAGGTTTGACCCCTTTGCAGAAGGCCAAGCACTTGGGGCCCCCCCAAAGTTTTGAAATCTCTTCCATCACGGTTTCCCCAAGCCTTCAACTCACCTCCAGGTTAGCCACAAAGCCCCCAGCCTCGTCTTCTTTCTGCTCAGGGGTGGGGTAAATCCAGATGAAGCCGTTGTTGCCAAGAATGATGGAGGCCCCGCACGGCAAGTCGTGGAAGTGAGTTTTCTGACGCTTCACCAGGGACGGGGAGACCTGGACCAGGACCCCCTGACCAAGCTGGAAAGAGAAAGGAGGCCAGGAGGAATAAAGGTGATGGTTAGCAGGTTGGAAAAATACAGCATGGACCTTGTGGGAAACCTCAATCACAGCAAGAGGCAATACTTTGCTTAAAAGCTGCAGAGAACTGAATAACTTTCTCCCCTCTTTTACGTCCAAATATGAAGTATAAGCCAATTCTGATAAAAAACACTTCATTCTGATATAAGAAAAAAACAACAACACACATTTCCAAAGCATCCTGTCACCTCATAAATATTCCATGTTGTACGGAGAATTGCTGAAGAATAGAAATTGTTTTTGGGTAGTCTTGACTTCAGCTCTGCCTCCTGTTTCTCAAACTTCACAATTTCTGGAGGCAAGTTATTCCACTGATTAGAACAATGAATCGGTGGAACAGCCCGCCTCCAGAAGTTGTGAATGCTCCAACACTGGACGTTTTTTAGAGACTGGGACAACCATGTCTGAAATGGTATAGGGTTTCCTGCCTGAGCAGGGGGTTGAACTAGAAGATCTCCAAGGTCCCTTCCAACTCTGTCATTCCTGTTCCCCATTACAGATAGAAGAGCACTTTCAATGCATTAAGAAAAATTAAAAGTAGCTCACCTTTCCATATTTGAGACTTCGAGTGTGCAATGAGACTGCCCCGTCAGAAAACACCGCTTGGACTTCGGCCTGCCAGGGGCATTTAAGAAAACAAAACCACAGTGGGCTTCCCTGCATTTCCACCCCCGATAAATACAAAAGGACCCGGGGTCAGGAATAAGAGGAATAAGATTGTCTGAATTCACACTCCGTTATCTTGGGTTTTAGCAAGCTACACAAACCCAGTTTGACTGATTAGTTTAGGAGGCCAGGAAACAAGGCTTTAACACAAGTCAATCCTAAAAAGGTTCTGCAGTCAACATGGCAATCTGCAGGAGGGATGGAACACAGGCCCCATCATCCCCGGAGTATGGGTAATGGTGCTCCATCAGCAATGGGGTCCGAACAAGACTGCGCTAACAATTCTTAGGGATTTTCTTTTAACTTCCCAAAAAGGATACGCTGACAAGGTCTCCTTCTTGGAGAAAATCTCTCATAGCTAATTCATCTTCTGCTGATCGGCGTCTCTGGAGAATAAAAACAAATGGAACTGAATTATTTGGCCAAGTGTGATTAGACATACAAGGAATTTGTCTCCAATGCAGAAGCTCTCAGTGTACATGTAAAAAAGCAACAGAATGCAGGTATTCCTCAAACTTACGATTCATTTAGTGACCATTTAACAGCACTGAAAAAAGTGATATGACTTTCACGTAACAAAAAAAAAAATGGGGGGGGGGCAATTGTGTTCAGAAGTCAAGGACTACCTCTAATCAGAGTAAAAAAAAAACCAAATAATCAGAGTTAAAAAAAATATAAATTACCCATTTCTTAATGAAAAGAACATTTCTAACTGTTTGAAGATACTCACCAACTCTCCACCTGGAAGATTCATGGAAGACAGCAACAGCACAGATTCTAGTCTAGAATTGGTTTCCACCTTCCATCGTTTCTGCTGAACCTAACATATTTTATAGATAGATATATATGTAAATAAATCCAAACTTCTTCAAAATGCTGTCCCGCCAATGAGCTGAAAGAGAAAATATTTGGCAAGCCCTGGACATGTCCTAAACCACACCATTCCTCAGCAGACATCATTTTAGGAGCTTTAATTCTATATTTTACATTCCTAACAAATTGTTCCAGTGGACAAGCCAAAACAATAGCAAATATTTTCAAGATGGCGCTTTCTAAAAAAAAAATACAAGTTCAGAAGTTCCATGAGGAAAAAAAATTACAGGATTCTTCCTGTTCTGCATATTTCTGGGAAGGGAGGAAGGAGCATATGTTTAAATCAAAATGTTACCTCTGTAATTCTCCCAACCACGATGTCTCCAACTTCACCATTGTACCTGCCAGGAAGATCAAAAAGAAATATTATTCGGATTCAGTAACTCTCCAGCTAAAGATAGAATGTGTAACCTTAGGCTGTAATAAAGATGCTAATCTTTAAAGATCCCGTGAGATTATGGGTTACTTTTCAATCAGAGGTGAGAACTATAACAAAGAAAAACTCAGATCCACGATAATCCAGCAGACGCATCAAAGCCCTCGGTTGAGAGTGATGAATTCTGATTTAAAGGCTTCGCTCCAGGTTTCTCAACTCAGTAACCTTTAAAATGCCTGGATTTCAGCCAGCATTCCCCAGCCAGCCTGGCTATCAATGTATCATATATCACCAGACTGGCTGGGGAATTCTGGGGGCTGAAGTCCAATCCTCCACAGCGTGCCTTGCTTACCATTCCCAGGATCATATATATCTCGAAGGCCAATTCTTTCCTCACCTGGCTTTTAATGCTTTGACACACACCAGTTTGTTCACCCTCTCGACAACTCCAGCCACGGAAGCCACCAGCTTCTCATCCCCGAGGTAGGTTCCGTGGCCCCTGGCGAAGCAAAAGGAAAAGGAAGATTAAAAGGGGTGAGGAGGGAAATTGAGAAAAATGAGAAATGGGGGGGGGAAAAAACTACATTGTTTTGGGACAGAGACCTAGGCAGACAGATTGATTGCAGGCAGTCCTCGACTTACAACAGCTCATTTAGTGACAACGGCATTGACAAAAAGCGGCTTATGATTATTAAAGGAGAATATTTGTAGCTTCCATCCGTGGAAGGGGGGGGTGGGCACGTGAAGGCCACAGCTAGGCCCAAGGGGGCTCCTCAGCCTGGTCCCCATTGGAGCCCCCCCCCGGTACACCCGCCCTCACCGCATGTATCCCGGGTCCGTGGTGATGGTATCCCCGGGGGCCACCAAATCCCGGTCCCCGCCGCTGCTGTGAGGCAAGTTGGACGCTAAACGCTTCCTCACCGCGGGCAGCCTGAAGTCCACCGCCGCCATCTTGGCTGACGGCGCATTGCGCAGGCGCAGAAAGTGCGCGCGGCCTCTGTGGCCGCTATGTCTATTCCGGGCAGGTCCTAGAGGAAAGGGGTTGGGAGCGCAGAAGAAATACTTCCGGCTTCCCTTTGCGGTGCATTTCTCTTTTGCAAAAGAAAAAAGAAAAAAAAGCCACTCTTCTCGCCATGGGCAGCTTGGATGGAGTTAGGGACACGCTGAACCCCCCCTCCCGCCTCAGCACCCTCTGCAGGATTTCCCGAGAATGCAAAGGCTGCGCTCAGCACTCCCCCGACAGAGAGGATGTTGCAAAGAGAATAACTGGCGGAAGGGAGCTTAGAGGTCTTCTAGTCCAACCCCCTGCTCAAATAGAAGACCTATTACATATCAGACAAATGGCTGTCCAAGCTGCAGGCACCCGCCCCCTCCTCACATTGCAACCAAGATCCATTAGAGCACTCCCCTCTTCCTTCGAAAGTGCCCCTGAGCATGGGCAGAGCGCCTTACCCGCGAATGGCTAGGCGACAAGACTCGTCCCTTCCGCCAATTCGCTAGAGATGCCCTGCGTTTGCATGGATGCTTGGAAACCGAAAACCTGAGCTTTAATTCACTTCTCACTAGACTGTTCCTCTTGGGGTTAGCAGAGCCCCGCCGGGTTGAGAAGGCTGCTGCCGTCTGGCTCTGCGCCCATTTTAAAAATGGTGCTCTGTTGCCCTCTTGTGGCTATTTAGAGGATATAACGAGAACTACCTTTTAAAATTAAAAAACAAACGCTAGTATGCTTTATTTTCTCAGGTCTATTGTTAATTTATTTAAGCATACTGAAAACCGCTGAAACAGTTGTTAAGTGAGTGTTGCCCCATTTCTTGCTACAGGTGTCAAGTAAATCACTGCCGTTAAGTTAGTAACACGCTAGTTAAGTGAATCGGGCTTCCCCATTGATTTTGCCCGTCAGAATGTTGCAACAGGGGATCACGTGACTCAGGGACGCTGCAACCGTCATAAATATGAGTCAGTTGCCAAACATCTGAATTTTGATCACGTGACTATGGGGATGCTAACCCTAACCCCTGCTCTACATCAAACTACATTATGATGAACATGCTGGCTGGGGAATTCTGGGAATTAAAATCTAGGCATGCTATTGGGGAATTCTGGGAGTTAAAAGTCGCTAAGGTTGGGAAACATTCAGTAAATTGTAAAACTGATCTTGGAAGTGAGTGCGAGCTTTCCTTAAAAATCAAAGAAAAATCAGCCCAGGCTAGCAAACAGAATAACGAGGACTAGGAACTTGAAATCACCAGTTCCCTTATTCCCAGAACACAGCCGTGGTAAATTAACGGTCCTAAAAAGCTTTTCATTCCACAATGTCATATTTTGTTCGTCTTTTATTATTATTCTTTATTTAGAATACAAGAGCATGAGAGATACAAAGATATATTTATATTTATATATATTTATGTATTTACAGCTGTGTACATCATACAATTATTATATAATTGATATTAAAATGTTGGGGCGGGATTGTTTTGTTTTGCAAATGGGTGTTTTACATGATTTTATCTACAGGGTTAAAGTGACCATTGTTTACTGTCCATTGACTATGTGTATGACGATTCAAAACATCCTTATCAGAAGGAGAGGTTTTCAGAAGCAGCTGGGGATCTTCGCGTTTCTTAAAAATGTGTATTTTACCAAAAGTCCGTTCCCGATTCCCATTTAGGTCCGGTGATGGGAATCAGGTAAAGAAACTGTTTCTTCTATGCCAAAGATTGCAGTGAGCACCAAGCCTCTGCAGAACTTCGATTTGACAAGAGAGAGAAATTGCACAATTTTTTTTCCTCTCTGGGGAGACCTAGAAAGCTGCAATCCTAATATACAAAGCTGAGTAAAATCCTTTCCTAAAACAAAGTCTTTGTTTTTATTTCAAGTCTTTTTTTTTTTCTCCTCCAAGTTTTAAACGTGAGTGGGCAACGATTTTCTATCCACCAGACAAACTTACATCAGGCAGGAGGAGAGAGGCAGAAAAATTTGTGCCGCGGGTGAAAATTATTTAAAAAAAAAGAGAGACCAGCTTATTAATTGATTTCCCCTCTGATCAATGCAGTACAACTGTCTTGCCTGGGCTGCGAAGCTAAGCAGGGTTCAACCTGGTGAGTACTTGGAGGGGACTGGAAGAAAGCAAACGGATTTTATTTAGTTTAAAAATCCCTTTTGAACAGTGACCCAACAATGGAAGGAAGTCTTCAGAGAAGGTCTTCGTGTTTTGGGGGAAATGGGAATACAACACCCCTGCCAACTAGGCTGATGTTATTTGCAGCTGGTCCTCGACTTATGATGGGAATTTTGACAGGAATTTCCATCACTAAGGGATGCGGGCATTAAGCGAATTACACGTCGTTAAGCAAATGTGGCTTCCTGCACCGATTTTTCTTGTCAGAAGGCAGCTGGGAAGGTCACAAATCACCACCACATAACCCCAGGATGCTGCGACCATTGTAAATGTGAGCCAGTTGTGAAGTGCCTGGATTGTGACTTTGTGACTGGAGGGGACACAGCAATGTCATAAGCGTGAGGATGGCTCCTAAGTCGCTTTGTTCAGTACTACTGTAACTTTGAGTAGTCACTATATGAATGGTCATAAGTGTGAGGACTACCTGTAATGGGAGAAGGGAAAGATGCCACCTTGTGGCTGAAATGGGAAATTAGCAACGGAGGGAGAACTACAGGCTGCCTAAAATCCAGAATTTGCCCCCAAATTAATAGTTCCTTTCTGGGAAATGATCTCTAGTCCCAGGCAAGAAGTAAAAACCCTAGACTGCAATCCTGTTGACTTAAGGATCTTTTCTTTCTTTCTTTCTTTCTTTCTTTCTTTCTTTCTTTCTTTCTTTCTTTCCTTCCTTCCTTCTTTCTTTCTTTCTTTCTTTCCTTGTCTGTTTTCTTTTTCTCTTTTTTCTTTTTTTTATTAAATTTATATGCTCCCATCTTCCCTACAATATGACTCTGGGCATCTTTCTTTCTTTCTTTCTTTCTTTCTTTCTTTCTTTCTTTCTTTCTTTCTTTCTTTCTCACTTCTGGAAAGCCTGAGTGGAGAAACCACTGGGCACAATTTGCCATTCCTTCTTCCCCAGACCTCTTCTGATGTCCCATCTCTACCACAACTTGCTTCCCCCCAACAGCTGCAGCTCCCCAACTGGAGGGGGCCAGAAAACCTTCTTCCTTAGACCTCCCCCCACCCCAAAATGATCCAAATCCTTCCCTGCTGAATTAAAAAGTCTCCTCCAAAAAAAAAACAAGGACCCTTCCCTCGTCTGGCTGCCCCACAAGAGAAGCAAAACCTCGGCTGCCAGGAACAGCATCTTCCCCGGCTGTTCGCTGGAGCAGAGCTCAGACGGCTGTACAATAACCCAGGCTTGTGTGTCCGATGGGGGGCAGCCCGAGGCCCCTGGGGACCAGGCCAGGGGGCCACGGAGACCGTTCCCCCCACTGTGCAGAGTCAGCTTTCCTTGGAGGAAGCCGCCCCCCCCTGTGCCCCGGGAGAGTCCCCCCCGGCCTCACAGCACCATGGTGGGGATGTGGTGGCCCAGAGCCGTGGGATGGGGCACTGGCAGGGCGGGCGAGTGGGGCTGCAGGGCTCCGTTGGGGGGACGGTGCCGGGCGCTTTTCTGGTGTGCCCGGAGGCCGGCCAGCTGCGAGTAGGCACTCTGGCAGACCTGGCACTTGTAGGGCCGCTCTCCGGTGTGGAGCCGGACGTGGTTGCGCAGGGTGGAGGACTGGCTGAAGCGCCGGTTGCAGAAGCGGCAGATGAAAGGCTTGTCCAGCGTGTGGATGCGCATGTGGGAACGTAGGTTGCTGCGGGAGTTGAAGCCCCGGTGGCAGATGACACAGCGCATGCGGCCGATGGTGCTGATCCCGGCATCGGGCACATGGAAGTCTTCTGTTGTGGGGGGGGGAGAAGAAAGACAAACAAGGGGAGTAAGAGGGATCCTTCCATGGAGGGGTTTTCCGACAGCAATGCCACGAGAGGCCAAAGGAGATCGAGAGAACTTCAGGAATGGAGATGTTTATCCTTCCACTCCTCCCTCCTTCTCCATCCATGTCATTCCTATCTATCTATCTATCTATCTATCTATCTATCTATCTATCTATCTATCTGTCTGTCTATCTATCTATCTTCTATCTATCTTATCTATCTATCTTATCTATATCTATCTATCATCTATCATATCTATCTATCTATCTATCTATCCATCCATCCATCCATGCATCTTATCTATCGGTTTCATCTCTCTATCCATCCACGTCATTCATCTCTGCCTATCGATTTATCTGCCTATCTATCCAGGCCATCTAAAAAGATGGTGGAGAAGTTGGCAAAGGGGAGGATCTGCGTTATCCCTGTAGTGCAACCATGAGTGCATCGGTCATATCCGTGACTTTAATTTGCCTCTATCGCTAAAGCATGACATGTGGTGGATGCAAAGGACATCCTCAGGGCTATTGGGGTGCTGAGGTCACAGCAGCTGTGACATCCAGGGGGCTTGTCCTGGACATCCATGAAGGCATCAAGCAAGGGGTCAACCCAGAGTCCTCCAGGCGTGAGCCAGAAGGATCCTGCCGACACCCAAGAGATCTCCTCACCGTGCTTGCTCTTCTTCTGCTCCTCTTCAAGCCCCAGCACTCCAGGGATGCCCAAAAAAGTGTTGTGGGAGTTTCCATACCAGACCAGCAGTTCTTGATCTGGGGGGATCATCTGGAGGGAAAGAAGACAGAACAGGTGTGTGGTTGCTTCTCTTGTGACATCATCACAGATGATCTGAATTCAAAAGCCTGGCAACTGGTTCATATTTACGACGGTCGCAGCGTCCCGAGGGGTGTCACCTGATCTCCTTTTATGACTTTCGGCCAAGCAAAGTCACTGGGGGAAGGCAGATTCACTTAACAATCATGTGACTCTCTTAACAACTGCAATGGTTTCGTTTAACGACTGTGCCAAGAAATGGGGTCAAAACTCTCTTAAATGTTTCACTTAGCAAGATAAATGCTGGGCTCAGTTGTGGCCGTATGCCGAGGACCGCCTGTGAACACCGTTTTGATGCTCTAAGGAAGCCAACTCAACGAAGCAGGATAAAGTCACAGCCAGCGTGGGGCTTCCGCCTTCCCGTTTAATCTTTTAATTATAATAATAGCTTTAAAAATTAGCCAAATGCAGCCAGGAGGCACCTGGGAAACCATCCCCTGCCTTGATTCTCACTCAGCTCTTCAGAGGCGCCTATGGCTAAAAAATGAGGACTGCAAAGCCCAGCTAATTAATTAAATCCGTTTAAACGTAGCTCTAATAAACCAGTTCGCTGTAAGGTGGAAAGTATTTATTTTGTGAGTTTAAAAACATCCAAAGAGCATCGAATGGGATTTAATTTTTCACGCCGTAGAGAAGTACTTTTGGTGCTGGTTTTTTTCCCTTTTAATTGATTTTTAATGCAGGTGTTCACATGAACTGCAGGCAGCAAGCCGCGGTGTACATTTGTGAGGGTTTGTGTGTGAAATGACAGACGCCGCACCTTCTGATAGGTGTGAAATCCTTCCTGTGATTTTGCACCTATTAGAAGCAAATATCTGTACTGAAATTGTCAGGAGTTAGATGGCAACAATTTCTTTCTTTATTTATTTCTTTAAAAAAAAGAGGATTTGTGCTGATGGCTTAAGGTCCTGACAGCTTCACCTGTTTGTCCCCTGTCATGTTTTCATGTTTGGTCTCTTTGACAGTGTCACCTCACTGTCATTATCTTTCTTTTTGTGGGTTGCCAAAGAAATAAGCCGCAAATTGCCATCAACAAGCATTTGAAATCCTCTAGAAAAGGAAGAAGAAAAAAGAGAGATACTTGGGTTTTTTTTCTTCTCCAAAGAGGCTCAAGTGGGATTCTTAACTGTTATTTTTCCCATTACGAAGCCCAACCTAAGCCATAAAAGAAATGAAGCACCCCATAATAACAGTACTTAGTTCATGCGCGGCACAGAATCACATAGATTGAGAATGCGCAAGGAGGTACCACAAACATCGCAACCTGTTAGCGGGCACGTTGCTCTTTTGCGAGGCCTGGAATTTTAGCATTTTTCAAACTGCACAGCCATTAAGGTTGTTAAATCGATCAACGGAGGCTGTAAAGTGCAGTTCTCAACAGCTAGGTTCACAACAAGCCAGGGAAATTATGACACCCAGAGATCATTTTAAACTTAGTTCCTTTTTTTTTTTGGTTTTTTTTTTTAAATGGCAGACTGTCATTTAGCAAGCAAACTTGGACGTGGCTCGCTTCTTCAGCCCAAACTTAGCTAAACACACAACTTTTGTGACAGAGGATGCCTTTCCTTCTGGTGCAGCCCAAGAGGCTGCTTTAAAAGTGATGACAGGGCTAAGAAATTTTTTTTGTAAAAAAAAGATTTCTTTTCTTTGGGAAAACCAAACGAAACTGGTTTCTGTAAATACACAGACCATATTTGAGATCAGAACCAATGAGCAGAGCAGAAGATGCAAACTTGAAATAAGGAAGAATTTCCTGGCCTTGGATGAAGCCAAGGCCGGCTACCTCCTGGAACTGCAGGGTCCCCATCATTGAAGGATGTCAAGCAAAGGCTGAAACCAGCTGTTTGTCTGATTTTGGATTGGTCTAGAAGACCCCAAAGTCCCGTATTCTGTGTTTCTTTGATGATTCTATGAGTCTCTTCTCCATAGTTCCTGCTTGAAGGAGAAGAACCAACAAGCAGAGTAGAGGCTCTCTTGAGGGAGATACAACGTCAAAATAAGGAAGAATTTCCCAGCTGTGGCAACTACGAAGCAGTGGTCCAGCCTATCTCCTGGAGATGTGAGGTCTCCCTCACTGGAGGGTTTCAACCAAAGATTGGACAGGCATTTGTCTGGGATGGTCTGAGGGTTCTGGGTTGGTTTAGGACCTTCAAGGTCCCTTCCAACTCTATGGTTCTATGGCTCTGTGACTCTATGATTCTACGGTTCTATAAATCGATGAGTCTAGGGTTATATGATTCTACATTATTATGACACAATGATATTATAGCTCTATGAATCTACGATTCTATTTTACTAGGATACTACAGTTCTGTGGTTCCTGTCACTGTGATATTTTAGTTCCATGAATCTATGGTTCTGTGGTTCTATGAGTGTATGAAAATAAGATGAAATAAAACAAAATACTGCCGGAGATCAGCTTGGCAAGATAATCATCAATCCGCAGTCGGTAGCCAAGAACTTCTCTTCGTTTTGGCTTCCCCGTTTCATACCTCAATGGCTTTGTAGAAAATGCTGTTTCCAATCTGGACCACTTCCAAATTCTGTTCCTGTTCGTTCCGGGCGCATTTGATGTAGGTCATCCAACTGCGATGATCTTCCTGGCTCGCATCAATGAAGTATCGAACCGTCCCATCTTCATTGAAGACCTGGGGTTAAAAAAACCCAATGATTAATCCTGTTTTTTGAAAAAGGAAATCTTCAATATCTAATCCTTTATTGACTAGCTATTAAACCACTGTATCTCTACCTTGGCAATTTAAGACAGGTGCACTTCAACTCCCAGAATTCCCCAGCCAGCCTGAGGAATTATGGGGAATAACGCAGAGTTTCTTCCTACTGGGGTCTTAAGTGATTCTTAAACTGTTTGACCTAATGGCTTCTTATCCCAGTTTCAAATAATGTCCTTATCCCCCTATAAAATAATCCTACACTCCATCATTTTACGCAAACAGCCCAGACTGGATGCAGGACTCAAAAAAATAAGCAATTACACACAGCTGCATCGTTCTCAGAATATGTCTAGATTTATCCCCAGTTTAGGAACAACTGCGTCATATTGTTATTAGGAGAATTAAATTATTGGACATGACTAGATGGTGTATAAGGTTGTGGAAAAACTTTGTCTCCATCTCATGAACACCACAGTGGGCCTTAAAAAAAACTCACAGGAGCTTCTAAGAGTCCATGCAAACACATTCTGATTAACCTGGTTAGGAACAGGCAAAAATCTTGGGCATTAAGCCTTTTTAATTTTCTTTGCTGTGTGAGCCACTCAACAATGGCTCAGAGTATTTTCTAGTTTAGGAAGCTTTCTCCTGTAGAAATTGAAAAACTTTCAGGGAGCAAAAAAGAAAGAAAAGACAGCTTGCAAGGAGAAGTAAAGAAAAAGCAAAGTTGCAAAGAGGAAAAAAAGGAAGAAAACTCGCAAAGAAGAAAAAGGGAAGAAAACTCGCAAAGAGGAAGAAAAGAAGAAGAAAACTCGCAAAGAGAAATAAAGAAAGCAGAAAACTTTCAAAGGAAAGAAAAGGGTCTCAGGAGCACAAACGGGCTGGGAACGGAGCTGCAGCGATGCTGATCCGCTGTCAGTTGTGGAATATCCTACGTGGGCTTTGCAAAAGGTTTTCTCGGGAGAATTCAAGAGCACGAGAGGGAAGAAATGTATTCAGTTTCACACTTTGCCAATCAAATGGGGAACATCCAGAAAATAGGCTTATTTTCCCATTCAAACCGCACACGGGAAGGCCTCCGTTCTGGGGAACAGCACATTAGGATGCATTCAGGAAGAAATTACTTTTTTTAAAAAAAAAGAAAAATGTTGCCTGCAAAAGGAGGCGCCTGTTAGGAAAAGCTTTGCAGAAAGCGTGCATCCCAAGAACTGCAAAAAAACGAACAACAACATACAAATTTAAATGCATGTTATTTATAGGCCTGTATCTCCCATCCAATAGATACAGAATGAACTGAAGTGCGAAGCGGGAAAAAAAAAACCTTGAGCTTAATAGGCAGATTCCTTTATTCCCAGGTTGAATAGCTGTCATTTGCCTTCATTTATGGAGTTTTGAATAAAGCAAATATTAGAAAGGCGCCATTATGTGTCTAATGGCAGCTTAAAACACACATTCAGCTCCTTATTCTCAAGATACGTAACAAAAACCAGCAACTTCATTCATAGAGCAGGCGAAGCTGGGCCAGTTTTAACCTTGGTTTCTTTTTAGCTGCGTAGCTTTCTGAATTCAGCCTCTTTTCCTAGCCTAAGGGCTCAGGACCTAGGATTAATATTTATTAATATCTAACATTGTTACTGATTTTACCTGTTTTCTGCAGGAGCACAGAACCACGAGCCACCATAAATTAACCAACATGATTGTAAGCCGCCCAGAATTATCCTGTGGCAATAGGGGCGGCCAATAAATTTTACAAACAAATAAAACAGGCTGGATTCTGACAACCTCTCAAACATCAAATTAACTGAGTAAAAACTAACCAGGATTAGAAGGTTGTGAGACTGGAGCCAGCAACCCTCTCCTGAGCAGGACGAGTGTGAATATAGGCAGTCCTTGATTTATGATCCCAACAGAGCGCAAACTTTCTTTCGCTAATCAATATGGTTGCTAAATGGGATGTGTCCACTTTACAACCTCTTTTCCCAGTTGTTAAGTGAATCCCTGCAGTTGTTAAGTGAGCAACATGGTTGTTAAATGAATCCAGCTTCCCCCATTGACTTTGCTGGTCAGAAGATCGCAAAAGGGGATCGCGTGACTTGGGGACAAGGCAAGAGGAGTAAGTACACGCCAGTTGCCAAGCCTCTGACCGTTGATCACGTGATATAGAGAGATGCGGCAATGGTCCTAAGTGCGAAAAATAGTCCTAATTCGCTTTTTTTCAGTGCTGTGGTGACTCTGAACGGTCACTAAACAGATTAAGTCGAGGGCTACGGATCAATCAAGGTGTGTCGCCCAACCCGTGAGCCCGCCTTTACCTCCCACATGAGGCTGTTGTTCTTGCAGAGGTCCACGTGTTCAGGAGAGATGATCCGGCCTGTGAAGGGTCCCATCTCGGTGCCGGCCTTGATCCAGGTCTTGGAGAAGATGCCCAGTCCCTCCCCGGGGATGGAACTCTGGGCGATGATGACCTCCGAGGGCAGGACGAGGCTGGAGAGCTTCTGGACTTCTGCCCAGGAGAGAATCAGCAAGGGAGGGAGAGATTAACCACAGCAGAATAACAGAGGGGACCTTGGAGGTCTTCTAGTCCAACCCCATCCCATCTTGGACAAATGACTGTCCAGTCTCTTCTTGAAGGTCTCTAGCGATGGAGGACCCACGACTTCTTAGAACATAGAATCATAAGATTGGAAGGGACCCTGGAGGTCTTCTAGCCCATCCACCCCTGCCAAAGCAGTAGACCCTACGCCATTTCAAACAGAGGACTGTCCAGTCTCTTGTTAAAAGCCTCCACTGGAGGGAAGCCCTTCCACTGGCTTATTATTCTTGCTCTCAGTTCGATCCTAACTGGCTCAAGGTTGACTCAGCTTTCCGTCCTTCTGAGGTTGGTAAAAAAGGGACCCCGATTGTTGGGGGCAGCAGGCTGAACCTCTGAGAGAGGGCTGCAAAGCAGGGTGAAGCAGTAGCTGAGTCTACGTCCTATTGCTATTGCTACCTGAGCAGTTCAATCTCCTCCCAAAGCAGAGAAAACCTGTACAGATATCACCCAGGGATGCAAAGCCGCTCAGAATCAGAATAATAGTAGAGTTGGAAGGGACCTTGTAGGTCATCTAGTCCAACCCCTCGTGCAAGCAGGAGACCCTAAGATCAGCCTGGGACAGAAATGAAATGAATAAAATACTGGAGCCTTATTTTGGAAATTCATTTAGTATGAATTTGCACAAGCCATCTAAAAAGCCCAAAGCATCTTTTTTTTGTCTCCTGAGAGCTGTGTTTTACAAAAATGAGAAAACACAACAGGAACCACACAATGCTCATGGAAACACAACACTCACAAAAGTGCAATTAACGCCACAGAAATGCTCCCTTCATCTGGGTTAACTGCCACACTTTGCCTTGGTTTCTTCAACCAGGCTTTGCCACCATCACCTAGATTTGCCCACCATACAAAGCTGGACTGGCTTGGCCCCTGCATAAGGAATCCCAGTTTGCACTCTGACCTACATCATCTCCAAATTGTGTGGGCCCCCCCAGGAGGCTACGCTGAAGCAGAACAAGCCACAGCCTCATTGGCACCCACCGATGAAAACCTGGTTGCTAAATTGCTCAGGGAAGCATTTTAAGGGATGCTTTGACAATAAGAAAATATATTTGATTTAGACAAATTAATCCTCCATCAAAACCGGCTGCAAAAAAAAATTGGGGAAAATATTAGAGAAGGAATAAGCCACTTGGCAATGTGGCACAAACTGGGAAGTGCAATTGGTTTGGTTTTTAGATTAAGGGATTCCTTAAAAAAAAAAAACCTCTTCCAAATGCAGACAACTTGTGCATCCAGGAGAGTTGTGCTAATGAGCCACACAAAGAGGTCCAGTCTTTCTCACTGGTCAAGAGAGATAGGTCAGTGTGACTTTGCCAATAAAGCCTCTATCAGGTGTTCTCATACAGTTTGGTTAAACTGTAGATGTGAACAATTTGGGTCAATCAATCAATCAATCAATCACCAGCCCTTTTTACAGTTCTACTTTCCTATAGAAAATTCAAGGTCATGCCCCTTGTAATGTCCACTAAGCTCATTTAGAGATTGTCTAGTGTAGAAAGGAGAAAAAAAACTAGCTGTCCGTCAGCTGATTGAAACATCCACAGGTATTCTCGGATCCATCATGTTTTGCAGTTCCACAGATATTGTCAAGGAAATGCGCACAATCCAGAGATTGTATTTCCTAGGATCTATGGTACACGCCCAGGTCCTTTTTGATACGATTAATCCACTCCTTGCTGGTGTAAGAACATAGATAAGAGAATCCCCTAGCATTATGTACAAGGTAAAAATGGGCATGTCACAAACTTGGGTAGCCCCTATGTTGTTAACACACCCATGTTCAATTAGTTCCACCTTCCTTTAAATGCTTAACAGAGTTAAGATGGGAACCAGACAAATATTTGCAAACATGATTGTCTCTGAGAAAGATCGAGACACGTTAAAGATACTCTTAACAAGAACTGAAGCTGAGCACAATCAGAGGTGACATGGAGATAATATGGAGAAATTTAGCACCCCAGCCTCTTAGAAGTCAGATGCAGAAAGCTATTGAGGTAATCAGGTGCAGTTAGACGCTTGGAATTGAAAACCGATTTCATGGCACATTTTTATTAATTAGGGCTGGTGGCGCAGTCAGACTGGATCTGGCATTTTTGTCCATCTACCGAGTGCTTCCCGAGCATCTGGGATAGGCAGATGTGGATGTTTGATGGGGTTACAAATGTTGTCGCAGGATGGAAGCTGTTGCTGATCAAGCTGCCTTTTGCAATTGACCGATGGTGAATTTGTCAATGCCGATGGGGTTCAAGAGGTGCTCCATATGTTTTGGAATTGCACCCAAGGTGCCTAAGACTATTGGTACTTTATTATCAAATTTATTTGCTGCCCATCTCACAGTTCGAGGCGATTCTGAGTGACATAATCAATCAATCAATCAATTCAATTCAATCAATCAAAAAATTAATTTCCAAGCCATCCATCAGCCATTATCTCTTCTAAAACTAGGATCGCACATAGAAACATCCACATCCACACACTGTCTTTCTCACAACTGCAAACTGCAAACACACCCCGCCACTATCAACATTAATTTAATTTATTCCTTCGCCCAAAGACGGAAGTATTTGTTTCTAAAATGTTCACCTCTGATTTTCGGGTATCTGGAACACCAGACTCAAGGTGCTAGTCCATTTTATGCCTCTGTTGGAAGCAAATTACTGGGGTACATCAAGACTTGCTTGGATCTAAAAGGACCCTTCTCTTTTTAAACCATCCTGAAAAATACACTTATATACAGCGTAAACAAGTATAAATCTCAAAGATAGGCTGAATATCTTTTCTATTGTGGCAGATTCGTTGCTTTAATTATTACCTACCCCACAGCTTCCTCTTTTGCAAATGGCACATGATTTGAGGTGTGTTGCATGCCCGTGGGGTAAATAAGGGAACAATGCACAATACAGGACACACTTGTCATGAAGTTATGGCCAGGGTCACACACCCAGCCTGAAATGGCACACTCAGGCGGATTTGCTGTGGCTGAGATATGAGAAAGAGTCTGTCAAAAATTTGCACAAGGGACCTCATTTTTTGAGATGCATGGAGTGTCAATCATCAGATGTCAAATTTGAGATCTCCTCATTGCCTCTAAAGGGTCTTTTCTCCAAAGGCATCCATCCAACTCAAAAAAAAAAAAGGATTTTAAATCAGTGTTCAACTTTTCTTTTTTATTTTTGCACACACCTAAATTTCCTGTCTCCACTGCTGGCCCTTTTTACTTCTCCGTAGGCTTTCTAAGAGGGATTCCCCCCCCCCTTGCTGAAAATCCCCACTCACCCTGCATTTGAACCCCCAGACAGCGCCCAACTCCGTGCGCCAACTTTGTGCACCCTCTGCAAGATTGTAACCTGTGGCATCCTTAGATTAATTTTTTTCTCAATGATCTCCCCAGAGACCCCTGAGTTCCATGCCGCTTCATTTTGCACCTCTGGTCCCTGAGAAAAGTGGAACAAGGACCAGGCTTTAAAAATAACACAACTGCAACAAGGCTACCTTGTAAGATGGCCCAAGAAAGAACTTGAGAGAGAGGGAGGGGAGGAAAAAAAATCTTTAAGAAGCGAAAGAGTGTGAGGTTAAATGGTGCCACGGCATTGCATAAAGCAATTTGTCACGCTGTTTAAAGTGATCCGCATTCATTCAGGGCCCTTAGAAGGAAAATGGCTAATTCTAAATTCATTAGCCTTTAGAGAATGCTGTCGGCCAACACTGGGGAGAACTGAATGGCCTAAGAAACTTGTTTTAAAAGGCGCAGGAATTTCTGGCGACAAAATGGGAGAGATTAGCAGGCTGACATCTTTTGAAAGGACACAGAATGGAGCTTTCACGGTAGATTAAGAAAGGAACAGTAATCTTTTTGGGGGGGTGCAGGCGGGGGGGGGGAGAAAGAACAGGGAATCCCAAATGCCAAAGGAAGGGAAAGGAAGGGAATTGCTTGTCCTGAGTTTGATGAATGAAGAGTAAAGACTTGAGACACCTTAGAGAAAAGAAAACGGTCCCAACAACTTTTAAAGTTCTCAGTTTAAGTGGGAACGGCCCCTACCCCTTTAAGGTCAGGCCCAAGTTAACTAAATGAATTTAAAATCTTTTTTTTATCAGTCAACTGCTATTACACGCCTAATAAGCCTTTAAATGCCTGGGGCTTTTTTTTTTTTTTTTAATGAAGGCAGGAAGAGATTGGGAAGGGAAAACTTGAGTGGGAAAAGCCATAAAAAGGAGGAGGATTATGAGGATCCTGATTTTTTTTTGAAGCCTTTGGAGAAAAGCACCTCGAAATCTGAGCTAATCAGTTTCAGAGAGGCGGAAAAGAAAGATCTTGAAGGGTGGGGAAAAAAAGAGAAAAAGTTTTGGTTCTATGTTTAAAATAATCAGGAGAGGGTGAAATTTCAGCCATTAAGTAGAAGCTAAAAAATTAAGCTTTTTTTGGATGTTCAGAAGAGGTGGGCGAAGGGATTCATGATTCTTTTTTAAAAATATTTTCACTGGGAGGATTTTGTAGATCAAAAGGAGCTGCTCCGGATTTGATCGGGAGGGTAAGAGAGAGAGAGAAAAAAGAAAAGGCAGGATTCACACTAGAATGGATTCCAATGGATTGTTCCAGGGTCAAGCGGTTGTCTAAACTATGATGTAGTTGGTGGAGCATTGCACAGTCTGTGTTTGGGATGGTTGGGGGGGGGGGAATTCAGGATTTCAAGGTTGTGTGAACTCAGTTTAATAGTCCCAACACAGGGGCTGGTGTGGCTTGGGGAAAGTGGTGGCAACTTTAATTTTAGATTTTAATTTTAATTCTTTAATTTGTGTCTTCTTTTAAACTTTGCATACACAAAGAGGACATGGCTTGTGGCAATTCCTGGACCTCCAAAACACCTAGATGCATCCACGGCACCCATACTAGGAACAAGACACACACGTGTAGAGAAACCAACAAACACACACAACTCCAGATGAGGATCCACTTTCAGACCCAGGTCTGTAGTAAAAATCGGAGTAGCTGAGAGTCGAAGAAGCTCCTACAAATGAGAAACTGCGCGGCTTGGCTTCTTGGGTCAAAAGACCCCCTAGCCGGGGTCTTTCTCACTACGTTGGGCTTCGGAGGGCCCAACCTGCGCAAAGCGCGCACACGTGTCCGACCCGGATCCTAGCACTCTCCGTGGCGTTTCCTCTCCAAAGCCAGAGAAGGAGAGACCCGCGGGCGTCCAGAATCCCGCAGCTCTCCTGTACACGTGTCAGCCTTCTGCCCACCCCGTTCCTGGGAAGAAGCAGAGCATTCACACGTGCAAATCGTTCCCTCCTAGCGCCTCGTCACCCCCCCCCCAAAAAACCCCAGAGGTTGGAAAAGAAAGGAAAAAACTCACCCCCAGAGAAGGACTGAGCCAGGACCTCCGCCGTGAAGGCCGTTTTGGGGTTCCCGTGGCCGCTGCTAACGCCACCCCCGGCCGCCGCCGCCCCGCCGCCGCCGGCGCTCTTCTCCTCCAGCAGCTGCTCCCCCAGGACGTTCCTCCAGCGGCCGTAGAGGAAGCTGTGCAGGATATCCGACGTGATCACCTCGGCCAGGGAGAGGCTGGGCGGCTTGAGCGCCCCTTTCAGCACCAGCGCCTCGGCCGGCAGCACCGAGCCCATCATGCGGGAGGCCGGCGAGAGCGGCGAGGGTCGCGCGAAGGGGCAGCTCCACACCTTGGGCTCGGAGAGCGGGAGGGAGGCGCGGCCCCCCAGCCGATTGCCAGCTCCTGGCCGAATGGCAAAGTCAGGGACGCGACGGCGGGGTTGGTATATATGGGCTTCAGTGACCTTTCTAATTGCTTATTAATGACCCCCCCCCACCCCTGACGTCGACAGAGAGAGAGAGAGAGAGAAGAGGCGGGAGGTGCCCCCCTCCCTTTGATAGAAAGGGGTGGGGGCTCAGCTAGGAGAGAGAGAGGCGGGAGGAGGCGAGGCTTCGCCGGCCTGAGCCCACCCACCAAATGAGGGAGCCTGGGCTACCCCCAAAGACACCTGCTCTTCCAAGGTTCTTCGCAGACCAGAGGAAATAAAGGGGAGGGGGCGGTCAACCCACGAGGCGGAAGAGAAGCTCGGGAAGAAGGCAGCTTCACCCGGAGAAGCGGACCCAACGCCCACCCGCTCACCTCTGCAGGGCAGCCAAGGCGCGCCTTTTGGTTCCTCTTCCTAATTCTCTTTTTTTGGGGGGGGGGAGATTTCTTTTAGCCTTCAAAGGAACCGGGGTCCCCCATTTGTCCCTCGGGGTTCCCCCCACCCTCGTCTGAGTTTTAGGGGGCGCAAAGTCTAGCCAAGACGAGGCAGCACCCGCGGAGCTGTTGGGCTAGCAAAGGGCGCGCCGGCTAAACGCCCGCCGTGAAATTGACCAGCCTTTGGAAAACCGATTCGAAATTTTCACCTGGAAGGAAGGAGGCAAAAGTCTCCGGCTTAGTCCCAGCCATCCCATTTCAAGTCGGCGGCTTCTGCCGCCACGCAACCCGCGCGCAACCGAAGCTTCCCCCTGTCCTATCCTCAACACCTACACGCGGGCGCGCAGCGGGCTTGGGAGAATCCAACAGGTTCTCTCAAAGTTTTGTTCTGAGTCGGAGGAAGATTTAAGGCCAGTTTAAAAACTGCTTTCAAAGCGGGAGGGGGGAACGGACGGACGACGGGCGTCTGATTTGATTTATCTTTGCAATATTCATTCGGGTGCGTCCCCCCTCCTCCTGCGCCCCTTGCTTTGCCAAGAAGGAACAGGTCGTGCGTTTTCCAGGGGCGCGTCTTTCTTCGGGAGAGGAGGGGTGGGGTCCCTATCTCGCCCGAAAGAGCAAACTCAGACCCCCCCCCTCCACCTTTTGCAAAAAAAGAGGGTGGCAACGCAAGGAAACCAGCGCCGGACAAGACGGGGGGGGGGGCGCTGGCGGCTCTGCGGGCGCGCGCAAAAGACGCGGGGCGCGCCTGGGAAAGAAAAAAAAGAGACGCGTTTCTCCGGGAAGCGCTCTAGAAGCGACGCAGTGCGCCCCTCTTAGAGCAGCCTCTGCCGAAGGATTGTGAGTTCGCAAAAGCGCCTTTCAACTCGGAATCTTGGATTGAGGGGAACCCCCCCCCCCGGGCCCAAATTTACAGGGCTGGAAATTATAAGAGCAATTGAGGAGAGGGAGAGGTGGGGAGGAATGAACCCCCCCTGGAATTAAAAAAAAAAGAAATAAAATCAAATTAAATTCACCTTTGGCGCTTTGTGCCAAAGCGAGAAGCAAAGATTAGACACAGAAGAGTAAACGGAAAATAAGTTTAGATTTCATAAAAGGATATGGAGTCTTTTTCCCCCTCTTTCTCGACACGCACAGCCTGCTCAGTTCGGGGGCAGCCACAACTGCAGGGACGGTTCTTGACTTTGGGGGATGGAAGTCCTTTAATTCCGGGCAAAATAATAGCCAAAAAAAAAAAAAAAAAGCCTTCAGTTGTTCAATCCCAGTACAAAACGGGGGGCAGAATTAGAAGCGAACTGCAGCGATTTTATTCTTATTAAATATATATATTTCTCCCTTTGAAAGCTTAGAACACCTTGTCGCCCACCGCCATGATTTAAATCTTTCTGAGGAGGTGGGCGTCTTACCTGCCAGACCCGTGCTTTGCCCTTTCGGTTTGGCATCCAGAGAGTTTTTATTCAAGAGGCAGAAAAGGGAAAGAAAATAAACAACGGACGTCGGGAAAGGTGGATTTAAAATTCCAAAGAGCTTCCCGCTGTGCGTTAAGACAGCCTGGCGAAAGAATAAAAGAAGAGTTGGTTTTCAAAAGCAAACCCCCCACCCCCAAAAATGGACAACAAGCTGATAGGCAGAAATGAGCCCCCCCCCCAAATTGAACGCGGCTCGTTCCGGAGGAAAACCTACTTGGTAACCCCATCACCATCCCAGGTTTAAACTAGAGATGGGGCTAATCTTATTTGCCTAAACACAAACTAGGAAAAACTAATCCCAGCGCTGAAACAAAAAAACTATGCTAGGTCCAAAATTTAAAGTTCTCTGGAAAAGAGTCGGCCTCGGACTAACTGGGTTAACGCCGTTGTATCGAAGCTTAAAGGGTCCTGCTTTTCGGCAGCTCTGGATCCGATCTTTAGACGGGCTGGCGAGAAAGGGATGTTAGGAGAACAATGCAAACTAAATTCAGAATTGGAAGTTCATGCCCAAAAAACACAATGACACACGAGCACACACACACACCCCAACGCGAATTGGATTAAACGCGAGCCCCTAAAGTGAAAGTTAATTTTCGGAGGTTGCCAACCGATGAGGGATAAAACGGGGCGCGCGCACAAACGGGGTGTCCTAATGCCGGGTCGGGAAGTTGCTTCGTCGGCGCGACCCCAATTCCCTCTTGAATGCACCCCTTCAGTAAACGGGGCGATCCTCCTCCCTTTCGTTACCCCGGATTTGACAACGCCACCTCCGTTGCGGTGGCCGGACCCAACTGAAGCGAAGCTGAGAGAGGAGACCGAAAAAGATTCTCGAAGAGAGAAAAAAATACTTTTTAAACAAATTTTCTCCGTTTCTTAGGCGAGAGGAGAGGGGAAGCCGCCCCGCAGTGAAAGCCGCAAAAGACCCCTTTGCCTCTCGAGGTCCTGCGACTATGCGGGGTTCACACGTTTTCGGGGAACCCGCCAACGCTTCGTTTCGCTTTGGTGAAAATAAATGGGTGGGTTTCGGGGGCCTGGGCCGACGCGCTTAAGAATAGTGAGAATACAAGAAGTGAGCCGAGAGTCCAGCAACCCGGGTTCCCGCTTAGGACCACGGGGGGGGGGGACGGGGACCTGGCATTCTTTCACACGAGTTAGGGCAGCAAAGGTAGCTTCGCCCAGTTTCTATGCGGCTAAATGCGCCTTGCCTTGGCGTCTTTTTCCCTATACGTCGGGGTTTTTTTGGGGGGGGGGCGACTAAGAGCGCCCTTGCCAATCAAGATGTCCAAGTTTCATCGAGTTCACACGTTACGTTAATATAAATATGCCCCAGACGTCTGATCTCTCTCTCTCTCTCCCCCCTACTCTCTCTCGTAATTAATTGGCTTCAAACTGATATTCGATTTATATTTCCTAAATTCTTGTTTTTCGGGTGGATGGGGTGGCTGGCTAGGATTTTCCTTAGTCCGACCAGAACCGCCTGTGAAAAAAAGACGCTTCTGTGGCTATTGATTGCCCAGAAAATTGGGGTGTTACATTTCCAGCCAAAACTAACAATTCGTCTTTGCGCTTTCCGGAACCGAGCGTGCGTAAAGACGGGACTGCCAGCCACGGGGAAATTTATCCCGAGCCAGGACTGGGTCCGTTTCAAGGAAAACCTTTCCGCGACGGAGGGAAAGAAAGGCGGCGGGACTAAAGGATAGGGCGCCAGCCATCTACTCCCAAATAAACTGATTCCGGAAGTACCTCGGGTTCCCGAAGACTTCCGCAGCCAAAGTAAGACTAGATCGGAAAAAAAAATAGCAGGAAACCCGCCCTTTGGTTCCCAGTATTCGGTATTCAGGGATAGACTGCCTTGAGACGTGGAGGTTCTATCCGACCAGTAGGTGAAGTGTTGCCCGGGAAATCAAGGCCTCCCCTTCACCAGCCTTCCAGCCTTTTGCAAGCACCAGCATGCTATTATTTCTTCCACCCCAAATCTATCCGACCCCGGTCTCCATCTCAAGGACTCTGGGCATTTTAAAACAAGGTTTTCTTCTCTCTTTAAAAGAAAGAAAAGAAATAGAAGGGCGAAGGATTTGAAAAGCAAGCCTGCAGCCTAGAAAAGAAAGAAAAAAAAAAGGGGGGGGGACCCAGGGGCCGGCCAATCTACCAAAAGGTTCAAGAACCAGCTGACTGTAGAGCTAGAACTAGGAAGGGACCCTCAAAGACCATCTAGCCTGTCTCCAAGGTGCCAGGGAATGAATTAAACCAGTCCTAAGCTGTCAGTCTTTTCTGGAAACCTCCAGAATTCTAGAATACAGTGAAATAAACTTTGGTTTTCTCCAGAGATAATAAAGCTCAGTACTGTTAACCAGTGGAACTCCTTGCCTCCAGAAGTTGTGGGTGTTCCATCACTGGAGGTTTTCAAGAAAAGACTGGACAGCCACTTGTCCGGAATGGTATAAGGTCTCCTGCTTGAGAAGAGGGCTGGACTAGAGGACCTCCAAGGTCCCCCTGTTATTCTGCATTCTATTCAATTCTGGATTCGCACAATGTACTGATCATCAACTAACCAAACAGGCTGGGTTCTGACAACAGGGATCTGAATTCCTGTCTTTAGACTTCTGAGATTTTTCTGGCACTGCCTCATCCGACCTGGGGGAAGCCCACCTGCGAGACCCTAGTAGTTAAACCAAGCGGGGTGGAGAGTTGTGTGCGAAACTGGACACCAAGAGAGACAGAGGCAAAAGAGGGAAGCACTCTATGTAAATAAAAACTTATTTTCCCAGACTCCTCCTTCCTCTTTTCTTTCCTTCTCCTCCTCTCCTACCTCATCTCTCCTCTTCCTCCTCCCCCTCCTCTCCTTCTTCCTTCCTTCCTCCCTTCTCCTTCTCCTCCTCTTCCTCTTCTCCCCCTCTCTATCTTCTTCCTCTTCTCCTCCTCTCCTCCTCCTCCTCTCTCCTCCTCCTCTTCCTCTTCTCATCCACATCCC